ACACCCATCATCAACGACTCCTATATTATGTTTTCTTCCTCTGATACTACCTCTTTCTTAATGTTTTCCCTGCATTCCTTTGTTGCTCCAATCACAACACTCACCCATCTTACCAACACCCCGATCCACTCTCCTGCACATGTCTTATATAGCTCCTGATGCCATAATCACAACCGTCAACCTCCATGAGCTAGCTCACTTCAATGGGGAAGGTTTGATGCCCATGTGACAACCTTTTTTCACTAGCTGTCCTTTGTGATAGTTCCCTTTTACCCATCTCCTTTGCTAGGCAAGCCAACCATAATGGGAACCTAAACCTAAATCCTAAACCTCAATGAAGCCATTGTTTGCTAGATAGAGATGGAGAAAGCATGATCAAAGCTCGTTGGAGATGGAGAATACACGGTCATAGGTCACCAAAGATGAAGAAGGTGGAGTTAAGAGTGTGTGTGTGGTGGGGGGAGGGATATAAAACTTGAGTGTTAGTTAATTGGATGAGAAACACCCATACTCAATTTTGCTTTCCCTAAAATATCACATTTCTAACATGTAATCCCAATATATTGATGAAGGGGACCGTGACACCTAAGAGGGGGGTGAATTAGTCAACTTAAAACTCTGACTCTAAACTATGGCCTCTTTTTCTATTCTTAGCAAAATCTATGCAAAAGATAAACTATCTAAATGTGCAACTATGGTTTTACTAGTGTGTTGCTATCTCTACCGCAAAAAGAAGTTATGCAAACAATGTAAATGCGGAAGCTAAAGAGTAAGGTAGAGATATACAAACTCTCGTCGACGACTCTGGTATTTTTACCGAGGTATCGAGAAGCACGTAAGCTTCCCCCTAGTCCTCGTTGGAGCCCCTCGCAAGGGCCAAGCTTCCGGTCGGATAACTCCGTGGATAGCCCCGGGCCTTCCCCAGCGCAAGTGAGTCTCCGGTGTGCCTTCCGGCAAGCCTCTCCTGGACCGCTCCCCGCCGTCTTCACTATCAAGCTTCCGGCCGAACCGCCGCGGGTCTTGTTCCCTTCGGTACACAGTGGCGGCCACACAACAAACGCGGTTGGTGTGATCTCACAAGACTACAAGCCCCTCCGATGTACAACAATGGTGCGCGCAAGCACCGAGTGATAAGAGGTATGCAAACCTCACTAAACACTAGGCCTAAACCTAGAGCAAGCGCATAAGCGGTGGTCTAATCAACCTAAGCACTTTGCAAAGCACCTACGCTAATCACCTAATGAATCACTAAGCACTATACAAGTGGAGATCACTAAAATGATGTATTAACACCCTTGGTATATTTCCTCAGCTCCAATCCTCTCAAATGGCCGGCTGGGGGTCTATTTATAAGCTCCACTTAGAAAGTAGCCGTTGGGGACGAAACCTAGCTTTCTGCTACTGTCTGGACGCTGATCACGTCCTGACCAGACGTGTCCGGTCGTCCCGACCGTTGAGTGCGCGGCTGATCGGAATTTGGGCTGAGTCCGGTCATCATCGACCGGACGCGTCCGGTCGTGCTGGCGCCGCTCTGGAACCTCTCTGGAAACGATCGGACATTGTACTTCGTGCGTCCGGTCGTCCAGTGCCGCTGCGTCCGGTCACGCTGAAAACATTGCCGTGACGATGAACAGTGTCACCGGTGCGTCCGGTCACTACTTCGCTCAGCGTTCGGTCACAGCTACCGACGCCTGGTGTTGCCGAGCAACTGATCGGACACGTCCGGTCCTTATTAGGGCCGCGTCCGGTCACCTCTGTGAAGCTCGTTTCTTCGCGATCTTGTGTCCAGCTTGGTTCCTATCTTTGTGCTTGGACTTTGCTTGATATCTTGATCCTCTCTTGTGCTTCTAGGGTCTTGCTTAAGGTGTTGATTATCGGATCATCATGTCGCCTTCGTCCAAGTCACGTCTTACACCCTATTAAACTATAAAACAATCACTTGCAAATTCATTAGTCCAATTTAGTTGTGTTGATCATCAAACACCAAAATTCAAAGTAAATGGGCATATGGTCCATTTTCCTTACAATTGATAATAGACTTCAATTTATTTTCTACTTCTTTGTAGGACTAACCTTTACAAAGGTTCGCTTTGGTACCACTTATTATAATATAGTAACTTTCCGATTGTGAAAAAATCAAAGTGCTATAAATGGAGATAAAATTATATTTATGGTTCAGTGAAATCGGATGCAAAAAAACCCTGCTATTATACTAATGGTAGTGCTTGGTCTTTTTACTTTTCCAAGGAGACGTTGAAGTATATAAGTTGGGGTAAACGGGCCTCTCTATACATAGTACCAGAAAGGCAGCAACCCGTTGCTTCTTGCCCCACGAATCCAACAGGCAAATGCTACGGGAGGGTTCACTCCAAACAAGTTTTATAAACTCTTGCGACTTGCGTGACTTAATTGATGTATACACGTAGCATGACTATTATACATATAGTACTACTATACTAGCTAGCTAGTATATTAATATAATTCATGCGTCATAACTACCAGCGGTATTTCTAGCTAGTTCTGGGTGAAAAGAAAACCAAGATTGTTACTGATACTTATGATATTTGTTGAGTTTCATTTGACCGTGTGATAGCTGGTGTCTCAGTTAACAGTGTATTATGTAGCCATCAAAGTAGACCCAGGTCAATGTGAAAGAGATGTATAAGCGCATGCAGCCTTTGTATATGCATGTAATTAATCTGACCGAGTAAGCATCGTCGGTGCTACCGGATCAGAGTCAAGTCACTCTATACGTGGTTCAAAATAGACAGGTACTGAGGACATTTGTAGACGTCCACACGCTTCAGTCCAAGAAAAATTCTATCTCTTCCCCGGCCCGTTCCCTTTTCGACTTGCTCGGTCTCGACAATTTGTTGTATGCAGGAATATATATACAGGAATTTTGCAGAAATTTCACATGAGTTAGTACGCCTGTTGACTTGTGTATATCGCTTCAAGGACTTGGCCAGGATTTAACTATGGATCAACCAGGAATAATTAAAGTCTGGTTTGGAAAAATTGAAGTGATTTTTTTTGGCATGCATGGTATGTTACCGGAAACAGGCGCTACTAAATATCTTAATAATTTAATATGTATACATCCTATATAAATTTTGAGTTTTCAGGTATATATATTTGTCAGAACTCAAACTGAAACATAGAACCTGGTGAGAAAAGCTACCGTTACCGAGAACTTACCGGGAGATACATCCAAATTAAAGCTAGACGATTTGAGCCCATGCATGGCCAACCTGATCGATCAGCGATCATATATATATTATATATTATATACAAGTCGGAGGGTTGAGCAACAAGGACACACCTAATGTCACGTAACGTACGGCACCACCGTACCTGCAACATAAGGACCGAGTTGCACGCATGCAAGCACACCGACAGTGAGCATGCACCTGAGCGCATTGCGTGAGTGGTCTCTTGTGCTTCAAGAGTGCAGGCGGCAGCTTCCCTGCAACGCATCCTTCCAACCGGACTTGGAGTCTCACAAGTTTTAGCAAATGATTAGCCAGGCGGCAATTAACACTAATCGTTTGGTACTCTTATAGCTAGCTATCTAGGGCAAAGATCCAAGAATTGGAAGATCCCCCTGCTGGCCTGCTGCTGGCTCTCGATTGAGTACAAACGACGCCACTCATCATTTCCAGCTGCTATTTTCTCTCTCTTCTTAATCGAGATCATCTGCTCTTCTCCAATTCTCGCGGCAAAGCATGGTCTTAATTTAGGCCTTTATATAGTAATTGAGAAAAAAAATGCCATCTTCCACACTTACGAATTAGTTCAAACAAACTAAACTATATATTACTTTTATGTAAATAAACGGTATTTCATAAAACATAACATTTTCCTTCTACAAACAGAATCCTTTTTCTGTGAATCACTATACAAACACTCGTACATCGTTGCCGACGAGCACGTTGCCTACACTAAAAAAACATATTTAAATCTTGAACTTGAACCTAAATGGACACGTAGTACCACAAGCAATCCAACCAGTGAGTACCACACTTGTAGCAATCCAAACCAGCTGAACAATGTTTTTCTCTCATACCAAACCAGCCAGCAGTAAATAATCCATGATACGATACGGCCTCCCGAACAGGCTGTTGGTTCTCCGAATGTAACGGAATTACCCAAGCGATTTAATTTGATCATCTGCCTTCGCTTGGTTTTCTCGTTCACTTGGTGGTCAATATATAGGATCTAAAATGAACTGTGAGAAGCCAGGCAATTTAGTTTGTATGACGCTAAATTTTCTTTGTTCTCTAGGTGGTCTAAAAAAAGGACTGAAGACGAACCGTAAGAAGCCAGGTGATTCAATTTAATCTACGACGCCAAATTTTCTACGGTATTTGCTAAGTGGTCATCAGTAGGGCCTAAATGAACCACGATAAGCCAGACAATTTGATTTTATCGTATCTAAAAAAATCTTCTTGTTCTCTAGGTGGTAAAAAAGACCAAAAATGAATTGCAGAAAGACAAATGCTGTTGTAATTATTGGATACAGTAGATCACACTGACCTCACTCCGTCAGTTGCAAACAAATGCTTTTGTACACACTGACGCAATTCACCAAGTGGCAATTTTGACCACTGACTTTTGTTATATATACCAAATAAAATCAAAGGTTTTTTTAGTCATATATCTACTATGTATACGCATGACTTGTGTCGATCTGCTTTTGGAATTTGTTTTGACATATCGGTTAAAAAGGAACCAGAAGTAGAAGAGTGTACTGCTTGCTTAGTGGCCTAATTGCAATTAATCTACCCTTTTGAGAGATCACACGACTTTTATCTGGTGTGTTTCCTTCTCCCACACATAGAGATGCATAAAGGTCAATTCACCAGCAAAAGGGGTGTGCCTCTGCGCGTGTGCTTCAGGCTTTACATACACTGTTGGGGGAGAGGAGGTAGAGAGAGAAGAGGAAACTGCTAGAGGGAGAGAGAGCAAGGGGAGGAGAGGGGAGGAGCGGTCGGGCAGCCATGGGGCACCACTGCTGCAGCAAGCAGAAGGTGAAGCGCGGGCTGTGGTCGCCGGAGGAGGACGAGAAACTCGTCAAGTACATCACCGCCCACGGCCACAGCTGCTGGAGTGCCGTCCCCAAGCACGCCGGTATGCTCCGGCCAGCCATATCTCTCCGGCCACCCCCGTCCTAGTAATTCGAAGAAATTGGATTTGTTCACGTCCTGATGATGCGCGCTGTGTTCTTGCCGATCGAATCGACCAGGGCTGCAGCGGTGCGGCAAGAGCTGCCGCCTCCGGTGGATCAATTACCTCCGGCCGGATCTCAAGCGAGGCACCTTCTCCGACCACGAGGAGCGCACCATCATCGACGTCCACCGCATCCTCGGCAACCGGTATGTACGGGCATACTTCCTGTCGTCTCTCTTGTTCCCGGCGAACTGGTTACTCACCGCGGCCATGGCTGGAACTCACAGATGGGCGCAGATCGCCAAGCACCTGCCCGGGCGCACGGACAACGAGGTCAAGAACTTCTGGAACTCATGCATCAAGAAGAAGCTCATCGCGCAGGGCCTCGACCCCAAGACCCACAACCTCCTGCCGGCCTCCAGGACTCCCCTCCACGGCGGCAACGGGGCAAACCCTAGCAGCAACAATCCTGCCCACTTCCACCCCAACGGCGGCGGCGCTGTCGTCTCCGTCGCCACGACGCCCTTCACCATCAGCTCCCCGACCAAGGCCGCCGCCTACGACACCGCCGTCACGGTCACGCCGCCGCCGGAGATGGCGCCGGCAATGTACGACGTCCCTAACCCTGACGGCATGCTCATGGGGCATGACCAGGCAGCCGCCGCGGCTGCGATTCCGGGATACCCGTACCACCCGGACAACGGCGGCGGCGTGCTCATGAGCTTCAGGGATCAGAATGCAGGTCTCCAGACATCTATGGACTTCGTGAACGGCTCCTCGTCCCCCTCCTCCATGGATCACGCCACCGGCATGCCTAACGGCAACGGCTTTAGCCAAGGCATGGGCGCGGCCTTCATGGACGTGACGGCGGAAATGTGGACCACCTCTGCCGTGGATTCTGCCATGTGTGCAGGGATGGAAGTGGCCCAACCGCAGCAGCAGCCGCTGCCACCGCAAGGGCTGCTGCAGGGGGAGGTGGTCGTTGGCCGGCAAGCTGTGATGAACGGTGGCGGTGCAGTTGCTGATAAGGGCATGGACATGATGGACGTCTCTTCGGTGTACGGCGGCGCCGGTGCAACGACTTTCGATCTGGAGCTGATGGAGTCGTGCGCGTTGTTTTGCGGCAGCGGCGTCGGCGGCAGCACCGGCAATGCCATGGAGCAGCTGCAATGGGACTGCTAAGCTCACTATCGTCTCCTCTTACTCCTAATTAGTCTGTTGTCTTCCATGCTTCAATCCATGTCTTTATTTCTCCTTTTAATTTTGATGTTCGATTTACTGGCTGGGTTCTTGATTCAGATCGTCCTTTTCAAGCAAGAAATGCATGCTGAGCTGAGTGACGAACTCATCTAATTCAGATTTCAATAAAGATATCTGAAATTTTATCTTGATTACTTGCACATTATTTATTGTTTTCTTCTCCGTGTGGTCGTCTAGCTCATCTGAAATTTTATCTTAGCAAGCAAACTGGTAACGAGCTGCAGCAGAAATCACACCTCTGAGTTCTGAGCACACAACACACTCACACACACCAATCCTTATCTTTCTGCAGTCTTTTCTTGCACTGCAGTCAACTCATGCAAGAGGAACAAGTCAGTTACCAGTTGGCAGCAACAACATATACGTTTCAACCTTTTAGTGCAAGGAAAGTTGTTGAAATTTGTCAATTTATGCAGAGCACACAAGTTTCTCCAACAACAAAAAAAATGCACTTTTCATATATGTACTACTTGCAACAACACCTTTTGTCTCATCCAAGTATATATGCACAAAAAAAATGCACTTTTAATATACTACTTGCATTATGATGTGCATGCACTGTTTGTTGGTGAATTCATGCTTCAATTACTTCTCTTTTTTCCCCTTTTTTAGTTGAAGGAAGTTAATTTGTTTCTTGTGCCATGCATGTGCATATATATCCTGCAAATTAGTGGACAAGATGCAACTGTAATGCAAAATGCAGTATTATGTGCTTAAACTATATATGGGTGGTTCCATACTAGAATGTGAACTAATAAGAACTAGAAAAACATCACTGTCAAATTTTGAAAGGTTTGCTTATATTAGTCCGTGCATTACAAAAGATGGTGTACGAAAAGCAATGAATGACACATAAAATATTGTTGATTCAGTACATCATATCTATAGCTACTGCTAGTAGAATGATGTTTCTATTCATCAATCTGGTATATTAGGATATATATTCAATGTAAGAGCACATATACGTGGGACCATATACTGATTTTTGTAAATCTTGCATTGCCATGCATGCATGCACCTACTCTTTATTTGGAGAAATAAGAATGTGGTGCAAAAAGTATGTAATGTATATGTATGTGTTATGCACATATATCTATATAAAGTTTTTGTGATAAAATTCTCTGCATAGCAAATTGACTTAGTGCAAGTGCATTTCACAAATATAGGATAACTATCTATTTGATACAGAATGCCAGACTAGCTAGGCAAACTAATTAACTCGTATGTTGAATGGTAACAAGTGGTATAAATGTGTAATCCACTCCTTTTACTAGTAACTTGACATCTGTGTTCCAAGTTTCTGATCACTGGATTCCTAAAAAATGATAATAACACATCCCCCCCCCCCTATTTTATTAGTACAGTTGAGGTAGAACTAGCCGTGTCATTAGGGAGGATAAGGTGACATGACTATCCACATCTGTTCAATCTAATGTTCTTTCCATCTCAAATTATAAATTATTTTCAGACATAACATATATCTTGATGCATAGCAAAAGATATGTGCTTAGAAAACCAAAATGACTTATAATTTGAGAAGTTAAGACTGCACCTCGCCATAGGGTGGGTAGCTGCCCTGTTACTACAGAGTAGCTGTGCAGAACAATTACTAAGTATATATATGTTTTGAAGGTATTTGTAAAATATTGTTGCATTGATGAATTAAACTATCGCCTAAATTGCACAGATTGGAAACCACGAATTCCAAAGAAACTAATGTTTAGATATCTTACAATGTTGATCTGTATCTTGCCACTTTCTTCTAAATGTGGTTTGGTGTTTAATCTATATACCTAACATTTTACTAGTATGGAATAGTTTTGTGCTCCTTCACTTCCTCCTATTCTCTTGTAAGTGTTAGAACAACATGTCCATACATGGTGTAGAGTCTGACCTAGACGAATTGGAATATGACGGTCGGTCACTCTCCTGTGCCCATATGTGTTATAGTGGCATGTCTAGGCACGATACAAAATCTGATCCCAAGACAATTGGAACGCATGTCGTGATCATTGGATAAATCTGAAACCTACCATGCCCATACGAGTTAGAGTAGCGAGCGTCCAAGCACGTACACACTCCAATTCAAAGACAAATTAGAATGCATGACGTGATCGTTGCATAAATCTCCGAGTTGCAAGTTGTTTAGGCGACCTGTGACAAACTCCCATTGAAACACACATGCATGCTTACTAGTTATAACAATATGCCATGCATTGAAGTTCTTAACAAAGTCATTAATTAAGTCATAAAAAATATGTAGCAACATGTTCTTCCAAGACCAAATCCCATTATCCCTACCTCAGCCATTGAAAGGCAATTACCTTAATCACATTATTTTTAACTTGATGATGAGTACAATAATTCTGCATCATCCCAAGTACATGCAAAGAATATATATGTTCACAAACTCTAGTGCACTAGTATTCTTTTATGTTGGAAAACACATCTTATTATTAGTATTCCAAGTGTATATAAAGCTCTCTCTCTCTCTCTCTCTCTCTCATTGGATACATATCATTCTGCCCCCAAATTGGATTTGGCAATGGGTGGATATGGCAACCGATCAATTCACTTATTGTACTTTGTAAAAGTAATACCATTATTTATTTATTAAGATTATTCATGAGCAGCCAAAAATAACTAGCATGCATTGTACGTTCTAAATATGTTTGGGAACACTGTATGCCATGCCAGCGTGCAAACAAAAGTTACCTTCGAGAGCATGATCACTTGCATGTACATAACCATAAATTATACTTTCATGCCACATGGCACGATGGAGACTTTATGGGAGTCCACATTTACACGACAAAGGTGCATGGTCGATGTAGTCTACGTGGAAGTAGTTGTAAGCCCCAATATAACGTAGCACATTGAAAGGGGACCGTGACGTCTAAGAGGAGGGTGAATTAGGCAACTTAAAACTTTAACTCTAAACTATGGCCTCTTTTTCAACCCTTAGCAAAACCTATACAAAAGATAAACTATCTAAATGTGCAACTACCGTTTTTCTAGTGTGTTGCTATCTCTACCGCAAAAAGGAGTTATGCAAACAATGTAAATGCGGAAGCTAAAGAGTAAGGTAGAGATATGTAAACTCCCGTCGACGACTCCGGTATTTTTACCGAGATATTGAAAAACGCGCAAGCTTCCCCCTAGTCCTCGATGGAGCCCCTCGCAAGAAATCCCTCGTAAGGGCCAAGCTCTCGGTCGGGTAACTCCATGGATAGCCTCGGGCCTTCCCCACGCGCAAGTGGGTCTCCGACGTGCCTTCCGGTAAGCCTCTCCCGGATGCTCCCCACCGTCTTCACTATCAAGCTTCCGGCCAAAATGTCACGAGCCTTGTTCCCTCCGGTACACGGTGGCGGCCACACCACAAACGCGGTTGGTGTGATCTCGCAAAACTACAAGCCCCTCCAATATACAACAATGGTGTGCGTAAGCACCGAGTGGTAAGAGATATACAAACCTCACTAAACACTAGGCCTAAACCTAGAGCAAGCGCATAAGCGGTGGTCTAATCAACCTAAGCACTTCGCAAAGCACCTACGCTAATAACATAATGAATCACTAAGCACTATGCAAGTAGAGATCACTAAAATGGTGTATCAACATCCTTAGTATGTTTTCTCAGCTCCACTCTACTCAAATGGCCGGTTGGGGTCTATTTATAAGCCTCGCTGAGAAAGTAGCCGTTGAGGATGAAACTCACCTTTCTGCTACAGACCAGACGTTGCTTTCGTCCTGACTGGACGCGTCCGGTCATCCCGACCGTTAGAGCGCGCGATCAACTGATCGAACGCTGATTGCGTCCGGTCACATGCCACCGGACGCGTCCGGTCACAACTTCGATGTTCTAGAACCTCTCTGTACTCGATCGGACGCTGTAGTTCCTGCGTCCGGTCGATTTGCCGCCAGCGTCCGGTCAATGCTGAATGTGTTGCCGAGATGATGAACAGTACTATCGGTGTGTCCGGTCACTCTCTGTCCTCAGCGTCCGGTCACTGCTGCTGACACCTGTTGTTGCCGAGAAACTGATCGAACGCGTTCAGTCCCTATAAGGGCTGCGTCCGGTCACCTCTGTGAAGCTCGTTTCTTCGCGATCTTGCGTCCGGCTTGGTTCCTATCTTCGTGGTTGGACTATGCTTGATATCTTGGGTCCTCTCTTGTACTTATAGGGTCTTGCTTAAGATGTTGATCATCGGATCATCATGTCGCCTTCATCCAAGTCATGTTTTGCACCCTATTGAACTACAAAACAATCACTTACAAATTCATTAGTCTAATTTGGTTGTGTTGGTCATCAAATACCAAAATCCAAAGTAAATGGGCCTAGGGTCCATTTTCTTTACAATCTCCTCCTTTTTGGTGATTAATGACAACACGACCAAAGCAAGCAAATAATAAAAATTTTGGAATTTAAAAACTATTTACTTTATTTACTTGCTAGGATGCAATGCAAAAGGGCAAGGTTATATGATGCTAAAAGATACCAATTGAAGATACTAATTGTAAAGCTAAAAGGTACTACATGTAAACATCTTTGGAAACTTATCTTGCCTTTGCAAATGTCTCATGTAGCATTATAGATTTAAGCCTCACTTTTGGTCCTACAAATTCTTCTCATTACATAGACTAATCCATAATCCACTATCCTCCCTTTCTCGAACCATTACAACTTGTAAATTATTATGATCAGACTTGCTTTTGGTCCTACAAATCCTCCCCCTTTGGAATCAAACACCAAAAAGGAAGACATTAGTAACACAAGGGAGGGTCAAACTTGGTAATCCTTTGTATATGGAGTGGAATAGGTCACCAAATTTGACTCTCACATTACATAGACTAAGCTCCCTCTAAATATATGCATACATATGATGGAGAATGAAGTTTATGCATAATTGGCAAATTAATGCTCA